TAAAATATCATCCAATTAAATTTATGATATGAATTAATCAATAAAATAAGAACTAAATATTCATATCATAACAATATATTTTTGAAATCTTATAACTATTTGATAAAATCTTAGATATTTTTATAGAAATTAATAATTTTTGTAGATGTTTTTTTTGCTAGTAAAGTAATAATTAATATTTTTATAAACTGAACTAAATCAGACTTTGTCTGAATTTAAGTTCAATTTAAAATTTAAATTAAACTTGAATCAGACTTTAAAGTTTGAACTGAATTGTTATATAAGTTTGAGTCTGATTTAAAGATTAGTATATAGTATTATATATTGGTTTGTAGCTCAAAATATAAGTTACAAATGCAATTTATGATATTTAGTAAGAATTAAAAGTTTACATAGTAATAATTAAAGTATTTTTATGTTTATATTTATTAAATTTAATTGTAAATATTATGTAACTTCTCAAATAATTATTATTAATAATAATTATCTTATACCAATTTATAGTTCTTATTTTTAACTATAATTTTATTTATAACTATAATTTATAATTACTATAGCAAATAAATATTTATTATATTAAAACTAAAGCAAATTAAAATTGTAATAATTAAAATTATTTTTTAAATTCATATAACTTTTTAAATATTCATTTTAAATATTAACTATCTTATATCAATTTGTAGCTCATATTACAATCTACAACTTTACTTAGAACATCAACAAATATTTACTTGAACTCGAACTGAACTTTTGATCAAGTTCGAGTTTGATTTGAAATTCGAACTGAACTCGAACCAGACTTTTAATTAGATTATTGCAAAAGTTTTTTATAATTAAAATGTAAAATTAATTATAAAAAATTTTATAATAACTCTATAATTAGAAAACTTTGTTAGAAAAAATATGTTAAACTATAACTTATAATTTATATTTTGATATAAAAATAAAAAATATAATTAATAAAATTAAAAACTTTTATTTAAAACAAAATTTCCAATTTTTATTATGGTTTATTAATAAAATCACATGTATAATTACATAATTTTGTTAGTTAATATACGTATATAATTTATTTAAAAATCTAATTTGTTTATTAAATAGGAAAAAATCATTAAATTGTTAATTTTGCTAACTTGCCAATTAATTAGAACCAATTATATATCATTTATCAAGCGTTATATGTATTATATTGAATATTATTAAATGAATAATATGATATAATGAAGTTATTTCAATCAGAAATATTTCCCAAAATGATATTACTAAAACAACCTAAACCAAAAAAATGTGAAAATGCCAAGTTCCAAAAATAAGTTCCTTTCTATTCTCTCGGACCTAAAATTGTGCAAAAAAGGTTTTGAGATATACAGAACAAATAAAAAGAAATTGCGATCTGTAAATCCGATAGAAATTTAAATTGAAAGCTTGCACAAACCTAGTGTATAACTAGACAGAGTCGGTTTGAAATGCAAACACGTCGCAAATGACTTTTCAACTTGTACATAATAAAGAAAATGCTAAAGCTTTTGGCTTGGGGCAACAAACATTGCCACCTTTAAAAAGATGTCAAATAGAACATTTTAAGAAACTTTTTTTTACCAGAACAAAACTATTATTTAAATTAATAATGATATCAGTAACATTTTTTAATATAGCAAAAGTCGTTGGACAACCTCCCTCAACAATACTTATCTATGACCAAAAAATAACAAGTGGAAATCTAACAGCTGGGCCAAAATCGAGCGGTGCGTTTTATTATTTTAATTTACAAAACATCACGGACCGCACAGGAGGTCTAAAGAATGTATTTGCCCGAGCTGTTACTAGTACCAAAACTTCCTCTCAAACGTCGAGCACTCTTTCTACTCCCGCCTCGGTTGTTTCTATAAACTCTTCAAATTTTACATCGTCTACAAGCTCACAAAAATCAAACTCTCCCGATATTATACAACAGGAAATTGCCCCACAATTCTTAAATATTTCCGTGACAATATGCACAGCTCCGAACAGCACTACATCAGCAAACATTCCACAATTAGATATATACGTTTCTGATACTGTGGAATTACCAGGACCTGATAATAATGCGGAAAAATATAATACGTCTGAAGGATTATCCGTAATATCTTGGCCATACAATGGGAATAAGAATGGGGTATATATAGGGATTTATGCTCCCTCTTCAGTCACCGGCACTTTTACTTTTCAAATTGGAACATCATTACATGGTAATCTTCTGGATATTTTTATTTGTGATTTGATTTTAAATACATCCAGTTAATATGTTTTTTGCAGAATCAATGCATAGTTATGATGATAAAAATTCTGGAATATATTTGGATGATACTGATGATAACCATGCTCTAGTCACCACAAAAGACGCGATAAACGATGATAGTTCATATCATGTATATATTGTGCCTGAAAATGCTACAAAAGGTCTTTCGAAATCTTTTTGTGCCTTGAGTAATATTTATGCTCAGAATCAAAATGTCACAGTAGCCTATAATAATACCATTACTCGCGGATCAAATGATGGAAACACACGAAAATCCGCATATTTTGATGGCTTAAATAATGGAACTAGATATACGGTTTCCTTAGTTATTTCTAAATCTGAAGCCACGACATTAATGAAACCATTATTAATCAATACTAAAATATGTACGTATGATCTTCATCTCTTTTCTCTTAAATCGACAATATGTTTCAAGTTTAAAATGCTACTACTCAACATAGAGGCAAAATTTTCAAAATCTGATAATAAGTTCTACAAGTTACCGGTCAGATTTTGAAATTTGCCTCTATGTTGAGTAGCATTTTAAAATTAAAACATATTGTCGATTTAAGAGTTCCTGCATCATAGAAAATATTACATAGAAATAATTCTAATAGTTTTAATTCTTATATTTATATGGAATTTTTGAAATCCGGATTTCAGTGAACAATTGTAGAGTAATATATAACCTCGAATTTTGTGATAAAGTAGCTTATGCTGTGCCAGGAAATCCTTCTATTGAAGCTGATAACCTCAGAGATTTTTACGACAAAGGAACGGCTGGAGCATTTAAAAATTTTTCTACCACGTTAGATCAATATGATTGTCAGAACACTTCTTATTCATTAGTACGTAATTGCAGCGATTGTAGAAGAGACTACAAAGACTGGTTATGTGCAGTTTCGATTCCACGATGTACTGATGAGTCGAGTAGTGATCAAGGGATTTTACGAACAGTCAATCAAAGCCGAAATCCAGATATTGATAAGATTATGAAACCTGGCTCTTATAAAGAAATTTTACCATGTATTGAGCTATGCTATAAAGTAGTTCAATCATGCCCAGCTTTCTTGTTATTTAATTGTCCACTCTCAAAAATCACTATGGATTCAAGTTATAATGAAATGGTTAATGATGGAATGACGGGTCCTACAGGTCAAAAAAACTCGAATGGAACCTCAACATTATGTAACGCTATGGGCTTAGAATGGTTACAACAATCAAGCGCTATTAGTAAGCGAAATCGTCGGAGATTTTGGATGTTGATTGAACATTTTTATGGGATTATAATATTTTGTGAATTATTATTAATATTTGGCAATTTTTTCTTTTAGTCCAATTCTTCTTTTTGAGCATCATAATTTAATATATATTAGTATTTTTAATAATTTTGTAATTTATATAATCGCATTTCTATTATTCAATTTATTTATTTTAATAAGTTGTATACAACTAAAAAAACAATAATTTAGTTTTTGTGCAAGATAATATCACATGGTAAGTTATATATATAATGTTTAAGCCATTTTTTTCTAGATTAGCATTATTTTTGTTAATTGAAATTGGAATTTACTAATTTATATATAATTTGAATTTTATAGAATAATCAATATTAAATGATAAAATAGAATTTTACAAATTATATATTAAGTAAAATCTTCAAGAAAAAATCAATATTAACTTTTTTTATTAAAATATATTTAATTATAATATTAATTTAATTAAATTTTTCAAAAAATATATTAAATAAAATTAAAAGAAATATAATATCATTAAAATTTGTTAAAATTTAATAAAAGAATTAATCTAATTATAATAATTGTTATATATAATAACTTTAATATTAATCAAAATCTTAATTTTAACTCTAATTCAGATTCTAATTAATTTATATTTTAATATACTTTTTCAGATTTTTTTAAACTTAATCAGATTTTTTTAATTGCAAACTAAGTTAATTAAATGATTTAATTATATAAAAATTATATTTTAGTATGTAAAATTAATAAGATATATATTTAGATTAATTAATAAAACAGTAATAAAAATTATAATTTTCTTTTATAATAATTCACAAAATTGTGGAATTGTATATGCAATTTTGTTAATTAAACATAATAAAAATTGAAATTTTTGTTTTGTACAATAGCTAACAAAATTATAAAATTATACATGTATTTTTCTGAATTTTTTAAATTTAATTTGACAAAATTATTCTAAATATAAAGTTTTTGCAATAATTTTATAATTAGAATAACTTTGTCAAATTAAATCTAAAAAATTCAAAAAAATATAAATTATAATCTTTATTTTAATATAAAATTGAAAAATATTTATTAATAAAATTGAAAACTTTATATAAGACAAAAATTTTAATTTTTATTATATTTTATTAATAAAATTGTACACATGATTTCACAATTTTGAGAGCAACTATATGTATTTTTATATTTAATTTGAAAAAACTTTTCTAATTATAAAGTAAATTGATTAATTTTTATTATTTATTTTAAGTTTATTAATAAGATTAAATATATTAATATAAAAACAAATTTTAATATTATATTTTTTTTTATTATTATTATTACAAATAAAAATAAATAATATTGAATTTTTTGAATTTAACTTCAATAAAATAAACAAGTACAAATTCAAGTATTTATTATACTACACATTAAAAACATTTCGATTAATCAACATTACAGCGTTAAACGAATATTCAGGAAAATAAGAATCAATTTTTTTCTGGTACATGAATAGATATGCACCATAACCATTTTAGTTATAAATATAAATATTATTGATTGATAAAACGTAACTAATTACACCAAAATAGCTAGAACAATTAATTTATACTACTATACAAACATATTTTTTTTCCGATTTATTATTTACAACATGACAACCCCAACCTTGCTTGATTCCATGTCTTTACATCTCCAATTAAACATGTAGTAATTTAGATAGCCGTCCCCAGGGCCAAATTTCAGTTCATCAAGAAAAAGTGTGTTTTCCATTAAATCCAAACAATTAAAAACATCGATCTTTTGCTGCAAATATATTTTTAATGTAAGTCGCTTGATATTATAAAATATGAATTTAGAATACTTCAGTAGAAATCAATACATACTAATTTTGCTAGAATCAATGCGTCTTTCATCAGTTGCTGAAGTCTTTCTTTGACTGCGTGTTCTTTTTGATTTGTGGCATAGTAAAAAAGATATACAGCGTCAATTGCTTTATGAACCGGATGCCCGATTACCGTGGAAGGTAAAGAATAAAATGAAAAGAAGTCGGTAATGTGTTTTCCTGGAGCCTAGATAATATTTAATATTTAAGAATCAAAATACAAACAAAATCTAGTTTGACGAGAATATTAGAAGACTTACTTCGACAACATAAGACCAAACAACACCTTCCTTTGGCAATATCCAATGTCTTATTTCCTCATCATTTTTGAAAATAGGTACAAAATTAAATTTACTCATGTATTCATTTAAAAGAACTCTCACTTTTGGTACATCTTTCGATTTCATTGGTCGCAAACCAGCAGTTGATGTCTCTTCAGGTACTTTGTATTTTTTAATCATACGTGTTAATGTCATATTATTGGGCAATCGGGAAAAATTTGTATCGATCAATTTTTTGGGGTTGAGTGAACGATGATAATATCTTGCTCTTGAAATTGGTTTAGGAAGAACAACCCCTGCAGTATATACCGCCTGAAAAATCCCTTCAAGGTGAGAACGACGTGTGATTTCTTTTATAAGTACAGGGGCCAATCTCTTGTTACGAAGTTTTTTATGTACGCATAAGAAGTTTATTTCCACTAAATGCTGTCGACTGACAAATGTTTAGAGATTAGAATATAAAAAAACGATACGAAAAAAGTAGGCTTGGTAGAGAAATCAAATAAATAATTACGATTCATATATCCGAATATCAGCCGGGATACCACTAATGAATGCCACAAGCTTCTTTGTAGAAGCCACGCGTACTCCTACGTGCCATACCTTTTTATATCCAGGTGGTTGAAGAGCCCTGAAAATAAAGATTGAATAAGCAATTCAAAGAGAGAAAGTTAATTCGACAAAAAATAAGGACATTTACCATTTCAAGAACTTTTCGGAATAGTCAAAACGAAACATTGCATCATCATCTTCGACATAATTATTTGTCAAGAGCGTATAAATCTCGGTTAACTATAGATTTTCAATAATTAATTAATAGAATCGATTTTCAAAGATGAGATACAAAAAGATAACTACTTCTTCCGGGTTATTCAATTCCATTGTGGACCATTCGAATTCTTTCGGCAGACCATATGGTTCTTTGCGGATTTCATCGTGAGGGGTATTCGGTTCGATAGGGCCATCTTTCTCAACTACATCATCTTTATATTAAATAAACTGAAATTATTAGTTTTACAAGAACGAATATAATTTCCTGCAAAATAATTAAGCTATTCACACAGACAAATTTTCTTAAAACTCACCATTTTGAATAACAGGCTGAGTACTCCAGAACTTGTGAACACCAGAATCCTTTTCTGTATTTGTACTACTAGAAGACGCCAAAGCTTCACGAATTGCCAACTGATTTACTAAGGATCTAACTCTTTCCTCTAACTCTACTTGCTTTGCCGCAAGCTTTACTGGGTCATCAGTGGCCACAGCAGAAGTTCCATTTTTAGCAGCTTTTTTTTGTGCCCTTTTTGCGTTTTTTTTGGCCTGTTTAGCCAATAATTTGTCTACAGCGGAGTTTTCGATATCTCCCAGAGAGTTGGTAATTTCTTGTTCGATATCTCCAGGAGTTTTCTGTTCGATATCATCCAGAGAGTTAGGAGTTTTCTGTTCGATGTCCTCCAGAGAGTTAGGAGTTTTCTGTTCGATGTCCTCCAGAGGGTTGGTAATTTCGTTTTTTTTATCGTTATTCATTGAAGGAAAAAAAATCTAATGATTGGTTAACGTTAATAAATTTAAAGAAAAATTAGCCAATAGAAGATCCACAACCGGTTCAAATAGGCGCAGCAACAAGTTAAAAATCCTATGCTAAAGCGAAATTAAAATCCCATGCGACATCATAAATTTAGGCGTGCGTAAAATTCCCAAGAAATCTAAAATAAATAAATTGTCAGTGTGAGAATCAGATTAAGCAACGCGAAAGAAGATATTCGTGAGAAGAAATCGAATCTAAAGATTATTAAGTTCACATGTGGAATTAAGTGACTAACTTTTTATTAAGCTTATATAGAACTTCATTTATACATTAAAAGCTATAAAAGGCCTACAATTAAACAACCATTTCTCTTTTTACGAGTAAAAAATATTTTTCTCCTTTTTTTCGTTTTTTGTTTCTTTTTTATATACTGTGTAATAAAAAACGATAAAATTCCTTCCGAATCTTACTAAAACATCAACACTAGAAGAAAGTGACGACGAGTATGATGGAACGATTGCTGTATCTGCTGGTTTGGCTATGTTTCAACGTGGTCACTTCTCGAATTACAAGGAAATCATAAAAAGTACAATGTTCGCGTTATTTCTCGTACGCGTAATGATTTAACGGATGATTTGAAACTGCGCTCGGTCATGTTGGGTGGCTAGTGTTTGTTTCCGAGATGGTGCTTGATCGTGTAACATGTGACTACGTATATAATTAAAGATTGAGAACAAATATTATATATAAAATTGCCTCCCCAACATTCTTTATTAGTACACCAATACACCAAGATAGATTTAAGTATCTGTTTTTTGTTATTTGCCGGGCTGATCAAGAATTTACACATCCTTATTGCAAGGCTGTCTTTTAGACAAGATTTTGAAAATTGCGAGTTATCTAAAAATATAAAGGAAGAAAGTAATACAAAATCTAAAGCATTCAAAACCTTTATCTAATTGATATAAGAATCCACAATATTTTTAGACAAATTGTTATAAACTAAGATTTTGCATATTCTTACCTCAAATATTTTTTCTCACGTTGTCTAATTGTCTAAAAGACAGCCTTGCTTATTGGTTTGTGTTTCGAACTGATTATCGGATGGACCAGGCTTGAATCTTGCAGAACGTGGTTCCTCGTGATCCGGTAATTTTCTTTCGCTGATATCGATATTATTTTTAGCACAATGTATAAATCGATAATAAAAATTAATCCACTTCGTGGTCTTTTACATTCTTCAATAACACCATTTGCTTCTTTCTTCTCTCCTGTAATCCCAAGGAAATTCCATTTATCTGTAAAATTACAATTCTCTACAACTTCCACGCGCAATAATTCTTTATATTATTTCCAACCAGTAACAAATAAATTATTAATAAATGTCTCGAGTCTCTTAATAAAACGAGCAGCAGCAGCAACAACAACAATAAAATGTCGCCATATTTCTTCTCTTGACACACCACATGACATTGAACGCGCAGAACGCTGGTTAAAGAAATTCACTAAAGATATGATACCAAAGGGTACTTTTACAAATATTCACGGCGTATTTTATTTCCTAAATAAATATATATTTTGATTACTTTTTTTACGAATAAATAAATTTAGAAGGTTTGACAATAGCATATTGTCGAAGTAGCGGTCCCGGCGGACAAAATGTTAATAAATGTGGGTAGTTCAATTTGATCAATCAATATAAACATGATCGAATAAAAGTATTTATGAATTGTGCATGTATATGTAGTAAATACAAAAGTAGACTTACGATTTAATATAGAACAGGCGTATTGGATTCCTGAATACGCAAGAAAAAAGTTAGTTGTACAGGTAATCCTTTCTCACGCAAAATGAATCCTTGTTAATGATGCCTATAACTCACACATGAACGATAAATGATAAGGAATCAAATCACATAAATAAAACTGGAGAATGGATAGTGACATCCGACAGATCCAGATCACAAAAGCATAATCTCGATGACTGTATCGCCAAATTATATGATGCGATTGTTAAAGCTGCGGCTGTACCAAAGGCACCAAGTCAGGAGACTGTCGAAAGAATTGAAAGGCTGTATGTCTATAAAAACATGTTCTGGTTTAATAATATTTAGAGATCTCAAACTATGAAAATTTAATCTTATCTGAAATTAATAAACAGAAAAAAAGCGGAAGATCGTCGACGAAAAGAAGAGAAACAGATTAGATCGCAAAAAAAGTCAAGTAGACGAATTCGTTTTGATGATTAGAAACAAATTTATTTATGCTAGTATTTAACAATGATTTTTGGATAAAATGCAATTTGACATTAAAGACGAAGTTTGTGAGTGGAAGTGTTGTTACTAATAAATACAATTTACAAAATTAATATCTAGAAGAAATAAAATAAATAAGTTATTACAAAACTTGTCCAATTTCATTTTCATGTTGATGAATGTCATCTTCATGTTGATGAATTTCATCATTTACATCCGTCTCGTCATCATCAATTTCCATAGTATTATTCAGCACATTTGCTCTCGAATCATCACGTTGATGTTGGTTCTTTCGTCGTTTTTGTTTCTGTTGCATCTCTTTAAATTTTTTCTCTTGTTTAGCTTTCTCCTCTGCTCGTTTTTTCTCCTGTTGAATTTCCCAATCCCCAAAACTCTCATCGCGTCTCATCCATGCAAAACACCTTCTTAACCAATTCAACTCTATCGCAATCATAATAAAGCGGAGGTACGCGCGACCCGCTTCTCTCGAAGTGCCAAACACCAAAAAATTAATGATGCCCAATGAGGCGATCACATATTCCAAATATGTCGGTTTGAAATCGTATTCTTTTTGTCTCACAGAGTGATACAAATTTCGCCCGTAGACACTAATTGTTACCGCGCAATATAGTAATCCGAATAATACGAGGCGTAGGCATACGTAGACTGGTATCGATGATATTGTCCGGTCGGAAAGTTTGGATGTTCGATCAGGTAATGTGTAATTAGCATCGTAAGTATCGTGATTGACATATGTTGTTGGTGATTGTATTATTTGTGAGGTATTGGCGGTGCTGGTCATGGTTGTTGGTGTATATGGCATTGTAAATGCTGATTCTATATCATGTGATATATTTGTATTGGCACTGTTTGTTTTTGGTCCATTTCTTTCTTTTGCTAGTGCTTTATCATCGAATCCTTTTTGTGTGTAAATTACTTTTATTACTTCTATTACGGTACGAACTATTTTTATTTTTGATTATGATAAATTTTTATTTATTCAGTAAATCAAGAAAACATTACTGCATGGATTCTTTCACTTACATGAGAAATATATGCCAGGAATACTAAATAATGTATTCCATCCTTGAATACTGACAAATGCTAATGGCAATATCGGTCTATATAAAATACAAAAATATGGTCCAGGTAACTATAGAAATGAATGCAAATTAGCATAAGATTAATTTTCTTTTTTGACAATTCAACAACCAAAAAAAATAATACATACAACTCCATGAGGCTTCTCGGCAACAATAACCGGACCAATAAACCCAATCAACAAAGGCACCAGCACAGCCAACGCCAAATAATATTTCTTTAGTAAATGATAATCATTATCGATATGCAGCACAATACTCTTATAAATCTCAAAAGAATATAACAACACCGTCAACCCTGCCCCGATTCCCGCCGCATTAATCCATAATCCCTGAATCCAACATAACCAATCCGGTGCGCGGGCCAAATTCGCGCCAAATATCCACGCGCCAAGCGTGTGTGGTATAAATAAAGCGATAATCGACACGCAAAAATACACGAATACACGATTGTAGCTTAGTCGTCCGTAGATTATTGTTAGGATACACATGAGAATTAGTGATATTGTGCAGAGGATAGTATATGTCACTGCTCCGGATGTCATGTATGGATCATCGGATGGACTTCGAGTTATTGGTGTATCGGGTGAAATGCCGGTGGCATTATTGTTTAGTGTATCGGTTTCCATTTTTGATTAATTAAATTATGTATGACGCGTTATGTTCTATGCTTGTTATATTGAAGAAGAATTTCGAAAAATATATATAAAAGTACAAAAATTATAAAGTTCTTTCGGATTTCTTCTGTCTGTTGTATTGCTTTTTCAATTTGATCCGTTCGTTTCCTCTTTTTTATGCTATTTAAAAATCTATATACAAAAGGAGAAAAATCATTATGTAATTTTTTCGCCTTGTCTTTTTTTCTTCAAGTCTATTTAATTTATTAATTTTTTCCTCCGTTGCTGTATCTCCTGATTTTTCCAAGTTATGTATATATGTATTTATTCACAGGAGTTTATAAGCAAAATAAAAAAGATGAACTAATATTCTATTCCATGAAATTAAAAAATAAGAAATTATCTAGCGTCCGTCCCTAACAACAAGCAAATAAATAAATACCAAATAACCAAAAAAAAAAAATGACGCGAAAAAGCGGGAAGGAAATGTGGCGATATTTATACATTTCGAACCCGGGGCTTCGTACGTAAATAAATGGTTTGGTGTAATAACAAACAGATGCAGTGTAATGTATAGTATGAAGAAGTTATCTAAGTGTCCACAACGATAACTCATCATTGTTATGCAAGAGTATAACGTGCCACAACTGAGAATAGGATAATGCTAATGACTACAAGTACAAGCGTGCAGATAATGGGAGTGTTAACGCTAATCACTACCATAATGCGAGATAAAAGTCCATCACGTTTATTTATTATAGTACACGAAAATAAATCTACTTTTATCCAATTATTTATTATTAAACTTTCAAGTAAATAAAATTGATGATGAAAAAAAAAATAAAACATTAGACCTCGAACTTCTTTGCTTCTCTACCAGCAGCTTTTTCTCTCTTTGCCATCATTGCTTGAGATTTAACACCCATGATACCACCACCCCATTGTCTTCGAATTTCATCAAACTTGTCATTATAATTACTCTTTATCACATTTACCAAATTATTCAATGAACTTTTATCCTCATCACGAATATCAACAAACGCCAAAGCAGTCGCCGTCTTTTTACGAACGACAGTTCCCAATCGAGATTTGCTCTTGATAATTCCATAGGGGACTTGCATCTTACGACAAAGAGCCGGCAACCAGAGCACAATTTCAATTGGGTCAACGTCATCAGCGATCAAGACCAATTTAGCCTTTTTGGCTTCGACTAACGCAGTGATGTGGTTGATGCCGTATTTTACTACATAGGGTTTTTTGGGTTCATATTTTTTGCCCTCGGTTTTTGCTGTGGCGGCAGCCAAGAGACGTTTTTTTTTATCTACTTTGGTTTCGGTACGATACTTGTCGAGAAGCTTGAAGGCTTGAGTGGCTGTGTTCTTGTCTAAGACACGAGTAAATTGATGAATCGTAGGTGGAACTTTGAGACGTTGATTAAGGATCTTGCGCTGTCTTTGCAAACGAACATACTGGGGCCATTTTACGAAACGAGTAAGATCACGTTTAGGTTGAATATCTTGTCCTATTATTATTGAATAGAGAAATAAAATTAAATAAATCGATCTAAATATCCGTGAAGGTTCACACTAATTAAAGTAAATATAAATTACCAATTCCAAAATTTCTCGGTCTCTTCTCGAACAGTGGATTTTTGACCGTTTTAGTAGTCTCCTTCTTCTTTACTGGATACGGAGCCGGTGCAACTTTTTTACTTGATTTGGCCTTGGGCTATATTTTATATATATTTTTGCGATACGGATAACAAAAAAAAGGATCCCAACAAAAATCCAAGATTTCCAAAATTACAAAAATACGATTTTTTTTGTTTGGAATGAATGTAAGGAGGATGAGTGGAGGTCATTGAGCGAAAACAAAAAGAAGAAAAGGAGACTTTGTGTTAGAGACAAAGTTTTTCTTTGTTTTACGCTCTAAGTAAAATACAACAACAAAAACGGTGACAACAGCTCTGAAAAGACAACGAGGAGACAGCTCTCTCGTGTCTGGCTGTGCCAGTCTGTTTTATGTGCATGATGTGTATTTTTTTCGAAGCAACAAAAAACCCTCGGGTATTTTTGGCCGTTGTACCGAGTACTCTCGAGTACATTATTCAGTACTCAATATTTTTAAAATTGGATTCGTTGAAACAAATTTTTATATGACTTTTGTTTTAAATTAACCATCCTGAAAAAAAATGCCACATTCTCGACTTTATTACCAAAACATACCATGTTGAATAATAACAGCTAGAGGACGGATGGATGAATTATATGGATTGAGGTGAGAAAATTTTTAAGACAGATCTCGTTTATAATCCGCACTTAATATCACGTGTAATTAGAATGTCTTGATTATCTTGAAATTTAATTTTCTGATAAAATGTCATTCCGTTTCAACTTTTCGGTATTTTTTAATTTTTTTTATTTAGTATAATAGATTACAATATTTTATCACTAGATCTTTATTTTCAAGTTTGAAGATTTGGATTTATCGGACCACGAGATAAATGACCATAAAGTCGTTAAGGAAGAGTTCGAAATAGTCGATTTACTTCAAGCAGCAAGTCTTGAAGAAAAAACAAACGAGATTCCAACTTCCTCTTTTATTGCCCCAACAGAAATTGTTATTAGTCCATTGGTAGTGTTCACATTTGTTCTTCTCCGCGCGCTACTCTTTACTCGATATATCTAAAATATAAAGAATCAAAAATAATGTTTTCCAGTCGCTTAAGCTCCCGGAATCTTTCATAGCTGAAACGATTGAAATTAATTCGACGCTTAAAGAATCATTGTCATCGTCACCATCAACACTATATAAGCGACACTTATCTGATATTAAATGTCAAATAGCTTTGGATGATGATGATCCAATGGAAGAACATGAAGACTCCTCTAATATAAAGAAAAATCAAAATTTGTTTGATGTTATGGTTGAAAGCGATTTAATCAAAGGAGTGTATGAAGGTTATTATACTTATAATTTATTTATAGATTTCAATTTAGTTTTTAATGCAATAATTAGTGTTCTATTATTAAGGTGGTTTCAAGACATGGGAATGTTCCCTTGATTTGGTTGATTATCTTGCTGGCAGAGGGATAAATATTGATTCACTTAAAGTGTTAGAGGTATAACCTTTATTCGCTTTTGCTATCGCATTAATGATTACAAAGTTAAATTTCTATGATATTTTTGTCGTTATCTAGCTTGGCTGTGGATCAGGATTACCAGGAATCTATATACTTACTCGTGAAAAATCAGCGCGGGTCGATTTTCAAGATTACAACGAACAAGTTATTAAATTAGTCACAATACCAAATATCCTACTAAACACTTCTTTGCGACCTCAAGCCACGGATATAGATAATCAAGGTATTGCACAAGTGAACGTCGCAAATAATGAGAGTGTTATTAGGGAAATGTGTAAGAGAAGTCGATTTTTCGCGGGTGATTGGAATGGTTTGGTGGTAGGAATTATTTCTTCTTGATGTTTGGCAATTTGGATCCTTGTTTGATTCCCAATCTTTTTTTGTATTAGGATGCACTTGATATAAAATCTGAAAAAGAAAAATACGATCTGATATTGACTTCTGAAACAATATATAATGAGAACTCTATCGAGAAATTATACAATGTCATAAAGAATGTTTTGAAGAGACCAAATGGTGTCGTGTATCCTTTATGTTTCTTTTCTGTCTCTAATCTATATTTTTCAATTAAAAAAAATGGACTTGACCAAAAATTTTTCTCAATACTGAAATGATACTTTATGTCTATTTTAGATTGGTGTCATCTAAAACCATGTATTTTGGAGTAGGTGGTGGTATACTACCATTCAGACAACTTGTTGAACGAGATAACATGTTTGATGTTGAAGTTGTATATACGGTGACCTCGCATTTAAGAAGAGAGATTTTGGAAATGAGGTTTGTTGGTCGCTAGTTGCGCCATTTGTGTATATTTACGTATGAAAAGATCACAGATCATATTCGCGGAAAAAGCTAATAGATAACGGCTATGTTCCTTGTCACGTGCTAATCAAACTATTGTCAAGTGATTTAATTATCGAGTGTGCGTAACAATGTTACAAATAAACAATAAGCTAATTCATTGTTTGGAATTAGCAATACCGATACAAACTTTAATTTAACACATCACACAGTTACAATAACTCCTTGACCGACACGTGAAGCTCGATATAACAGGCGAGTTTCAAAAGTCCGTTATACTCTATATATATATATATACAGAAAATTACAATACTATTTATTATTATTGGATTACTCGAAGATTTCATACTTGTGTATATACAGAAAATTACAATACTATTTATTATTATTGGATTACTCGAAGCTTCGAACTACGAAAAGCAGGAGTCGAAAATAATGATGCATTCATTGCGTTGTCCTTTTTCCCAATTAGCTAAACGCATTATATACCATTTAGATTCGACTTTATTTCTTATCCGGTTTGTATTTGAAACCGGATTCAGTTTATTAACTAGATAAACATAAAGTTTGGACTTATCGTTATCTTATCGACAGCCAATATCTCGAGAGAATTTTTTAAATCTGGTCCATCAAAAGTATCTGTTATTTCTTCGCTCGAAAGTCCTTTAATTTCTTCTTCGGAAACACCAAAATAAACTTGGTAGTTTGGCAATCCAGTAATTAATAGTTCATAAGCCGCTTGAACTTCTCGAAATTTACTTTGACTTTCGGAAGAATTATCATTTTTTTCCGGATGATGTTGTAAAGATAATTTATGGTAAGTTCTTTTGATTTCCAGTTCAATAGCCTCTTGGCTTAGATTAAGTATGGCATAGGCTCTTTTTTTTCATTATTCACCATATTCTTATTTTGACTTTATTTTTTATTAATTCCTTATTAATAATTACTCCCGTCCACACCATCAAATTTATTAATAAAAGTGTGGAAAGTTTTCTCACTTATCTTTATTTTGATATAAAAATAAAAATATTTGGTAGTAAAATTAAAAACTTATATATAGAGAAAATCCTGTATTTATTTGTTTTCTTAATAAATTTTGTTTTTTAATGACATTAATAATAAATTTATTTTGCAAATTATTTATTTTGATTGATATTTTAATATTCAAAAGAATTATCAAATGAAATTATTATTATTTAAAAGCTGAAAATTTGAAGTGTTATCTATTTAAATATGATATAATTGAACATTATAATTGAGCATTATAATTAGAATTAGGATTAAGTATAAATTCAAATATAAATTATTTTAATAAATAATTTGATTTAATATTATTACAAATTTGCTCATTAATTGATAAATTAGCTTATAAACTTGAATCTGAATTGGGAAAAAAATTAAACAAAATATTAAAAAAAAAGAATATCTAAGTCCTATATTAATTTTTATGAAAATTATAATACAATCAAATCTCTATATAATTATCACTTTCAGAAAAGCAAAATTTGGTGACTATAGAGAAATTTTTTTATTATATTTATATGTAAATGAAAAAGCAAAAGCAAAAATAGGATGACTATAAATAAATGTGACTATAAAGAAATTTGATTGTAGTTTAAAGAAGAAATAAAAGTATAAAAGAATAAAAATCTAAAAGAAAGAGGAAATATAGTAAGATAAAAGAAAAATATATAATAGAGAAAGTTTTGAAATGCTAATTTTTTATACTTATATAAAGCTTTTCAAAGTTAAAATACTATAATTAGTAATAAAATAAAAACTTTTTCACTTTGTTTTTTCACAAATAAAGAATATTGTCACCATGTAATAAATTTAATACCTAATATAAAATATATCATGTTATTTATAGTATATTTCTATTGGATAGTTAGTAAATATATGATCTACAAATTGTAACCCTTTTTAGTTCATACTAATCCTTTAGATTTCATACTATTTCATTCTAATT